AGGAGATAATTTTGAAGTTAATATTGTTGATAAAAAAAAAAAATTTGAAGCTGATATTTTTCAAAATCTAGAATTAGTGTGCAAGGACCACTGGAGAGTGGAGACCCTAACCCAACTAGGTTTTTCTTTATGGATGCTCCTAATCAAGTATGGGTTCTTGACATATTTAACAGCGCTTGCATGATTAAATAATAGAATTTGGTAAATTGATTAGCCTAAATAACACATGATTTAACATGTATGTTCTTTTATCTGTAAATTTTTGCGTGGTTCATAATAAGCTGGTTAGATAAATTTACCAATCAACTTAAGAGGAGATCATCATTGTTGCTTATGGAGTAGCCTACATCTGTAAGGTGAGAATGAATTCAGAAGAATGTCATTTTAAGTGTACAATATATCCCCTAGAAACCTGGCAGCAGACTCGGTTAAAATGAAGTTAAAAACTATGAATAAATAGTAAAGCTTATGCTACCTAATAATAATCAAAGAAATCAAGAAACTGCATCAAAGTTTTTATGATTGATACCTATAATGAAGCATATCTTGACGCCTGAAGCAGCAGGAATATCTCTAACAGAAAGTGGCAAAACCACCAAAGACGGGACATAAAACAGTGGAAGCCATCTCTGAATGAATGTGAAAGCCGGCTGGAAAAAGTTCATCAAGCTAGTTGCGGCCGCCGGGACGGTAGTATCAAGAATCACCAAAACAGAAAATATACAAAACATCCCGAACAGGGCACTGGGGAACTTAATGGCAGCAGCCACAAAGGCCTTCTTCAAGTACTTATCTATTGCAAGAATTAGCCCAAGCGAAACAAGCAAGTGCAAAAGCCCAAACACCTAATAGACATGAATGAACATGGTTAAATAAAACGTGAGAATTCCTTCAAATGATATCAAAAAACCATTTGATCAATATTAGGAAAAACCCATTACTAACTTTTTGAGAGATGGTGGAAGTCAAAGTGTTACCCCCCTCTGCACCCATGGAGTTCACTGCAATCCTTCTACGAAAGCAAGATTCTTGAGAACCCATTTGCAAGAAGTTGGAGGAATTGAGCCCCAGAACTGTACTGTGTACCAATCCTTTTGGAGCATTGAATTGTTTATACCTATCTAGGACTGGGTTTCCATTTAAAGCAAGAGGTGTTGCAATTCTATTGATTCTATGGAAGTTTGGCTTTGAAGTAGAACAAGCACTGAGAAAGCTTCCTGATTGGTGGCGGTGGGTGGAAGGAGAGAATGACAAAATTGGGACTGTAGCTAAAGCAGTAGCCATTGAGAAGCAAACAAGTGAATGAAGTTTCCGAAGGAGTCACCATTTTCAGGCTTTGATTGGATTTCGGAAAAATATTGTATGGACGTAAAACAATTTGGAGACCAAAGAAGATGAGATCATTCTTTTTTCCAGTTTTGTCTGTTTTTTGGCTGAATTCAATAAATAGCCTTTAACTATGTATTTTATTTCAATTTAGCTTAGAAACAATTTTTTCTTTTAAAATAAT